ACCTCAGTCTAATCATAACAAAATATGAAAAAAAATATCACTTGAGAGGAATTCTATAAATACCTGACCAGCCAGTATTGCTCAAAACTGTCAAGGGCATTAAAAACAAGGACAGTCTGAGAAATGGTCACTGTCAAGAAGAGCCTAAGGAGAAATAACAACTATATGCAGTGTTGTACCTTGAATGGGGTCCTAAAAGAGAAAAAGGATATTATTTCATAATGCAGAGTATTAACCATTATTCAATCATAGCGAGCTACTGGGGACTTAAGGATATTATTTCAATAATAATAAAGTCTGAACTTCAATTAATAATAAGGCATTAATATTGGTTCATTAATTTTAACAAATGTGCCACACTAATACAAGCTGTCAATGATACAGGTAATTATATTCAGTGCAGATGGGGATTTTCTATATTACTGTCACAATTTTTCTCTAAGCATAAAACTGTTCTCGAAAAATAAAGTTTATTAAAAACAAACAAATAAAAGAAAAGCATAAACGAATAAATCAGGATCAGTGAACAGAGAGCATGGGAGAGCTAGAAATCATAGTCATGAATAGCTTGTCTGATATAGTGAGTTTTGGAAAAAAGAATTATGGGAAGTAAAGGTGTGAACTATGCAGATATACTTGGGCAAAGCAATCCAGTAAGAGAGAAAAACGAGGGTAAATTTATTGAGGTAAGAATTAAAAGCTTACTTTGAATTTAGCAACAGACAGATAAATGATAACCTTCAGAAGAGCTCTTTTAGTGGACTATTATCAATAAAAATCTGATTATAGTTTATTCAAGGTAGACCAGGAGGAGAATAAGTGGATACGACATTTGTAGAAGACCCTAGAAATCTTATACTATAGACAGGAACAGGGCTATTGGGTAATAGCTGGAGGGTGATGGGAGGTTAAATGTTTTGTTGTGGATGTTGTAATTGTTTATTTTTGTTTTGGTAAAATTGATAATCTTAGAAAATAAATATTTGGTGATAGACATGATACTGTAGAAAGGGAAGAAATAAGTTAATCTAAGAGAAAGGGAATATTTTAGAAACAAAATATTTCTACATACATAGAAAAATAGAAGGTAAGGCACAGGGCACAGCTTCAGATGTGGGGACGTGAGTTGGGTAGTCATGGCAGCATGTGGAATGTTTCCTCTAATTTCACTTACTTTCTCTAAGAAATAAAAATCAAAGTCAACAATAAAGAACAAGGAATGTGGGGTTTGGTGGTGACTTTAGAAGTTTGAAGACTAAAGAGAATGTTTCAATTAATCACCTTTGAAGAATAGGAGAATTGATTAATTAAGGAAATAAAGTGAGACTGCTAGGAATTGCTGAGGGGAAATTTTAAATTTAAGATAAATTTAAACTGAGATGGATAAACAGGGATATGTTGCATGCATGCAGTAGCAGTGACTCAGATTTAAAAGACAGTTGAATTTTGTCAGGTTGTATGTGATTGAGGAAGAAAGTTTTAAGCGAACTCTAAGTGTAGTAGGCAAAAAAGAGGCGAGACCATGAGGCAGTTAATGGACAGAAAAGGATTGTACAATTGGTTAAAAGGTTTATCAAGTAGGATGGTTTCAAAGAATTTCTAGTAATAGAGTGAAAAAGTGGGAAATTAGATGGTTTGTGAAATACCTTCCTAAAAGATAGTCAGAAAGGAAGATGCTTGAAATCCTGCTCATTGAGGAGGTGCAATTAGCAATCATAAAGGTACAATTATTAAGATCTATGACATGAATATAGATGTCATTACTTAAGGTGGCATGAAGAATAAGATCATTACAGATGAGGAATTCAAGGCTACAAAGGAATCTTCTTCATGAATATGGGTTTGTTGGTCAGTTCTGACAGTTACTAGCCATATAGTCTCAAAGTCCTTAATATCTTTAATCTTTAATTCTATCATTTATATAATAAGGATAAATGTCACACCTCAGGGTTGTTTTGAGAGTTAAATAATGAGCATAATTATAATAATTACAAGAAAAATTTATTAATTGAACATTAATATTATAAGAAATTAATATGTAATTAATTAATGAAACACCATACCACTAAACTAGATAGTGTTCTTTTGACTCACACACACACACACACACACATACACACACACACACACACACACACACACACACATTGCAATTACTACTTGCAAAAAATAATCATATTAATAAGGTTAACCAAACAACAACAAAAAACTCGTTAAATTTTAACTGAGTGGCTACAAGCCCTGACTCCCCTTGCTCTCCACCCTCTCCAGACCCCATTCCTCTTGAAATCTTCATATCTATAAATTTCTGGTTTATTGCCTCCATGAGAGTGACTAAAAATGCAGAATTTTATTTCATTCAGACTTCCTTGTGCTAAGTATTTATGACAGCTTCCTCATGCCCATGGGATGGTCGACTCCAGTGTGTACTCTCCCAGGATTGTTAGACCATTCAGTATTCCCTGGCTGCAAAGCCATCTAGATAATTTATGGGGCCTAGGGCAAAATAAAAATCTTCAAAATGCAGAAATATACTCCTATTAAAGATATAAACCGTAAAGCTTTTTCCTTTCTTTGGGAATTCTAATTGCCATAGTGTATTCTTTTTGCTATTTAATGTCATTGTAAATTTTTTTAAAAAGTATAAATTTTTATGTTTTAATATGAATTTGACTTTTCATCTTTATATTGGTCAATGCCAGTTTTAAATGTAAACAAAAAGGATTCAATTCATATGCCGAATCACCAATACCATACAATTTGTACATAGTAACTATACAAATACACATTTTACTATCACTAGAACCATGAAAATACACAAAAGTAAGTCATATTTTTATTTTACTTCTTGATGCACATATATTCAAGAAAGAATATGGTAGGGTTCTTTGTTGCCCATTTCTCAGAATGGTATTGCCTTCCTACTGCATTTGAAGCAAGTTCTGTTTGTAGGAGAAAGCATGGCCCCTTGGGGCAAGCACTTTACCTAGTGACAGATACAACACATTTACTTGGTGCTCATTTTGAGTCTCAATGAACTACTACACATCGTGAGTCCACCAGAATGCTGCGCTCATGGGCTGCTATGAATGCTATAATATATGAGAATGGGGTGGCAAGGAATGGGAGCAGACATACATCACACAGATCTCTTCTGTTCGCTTGCATACTCCAGATGGCTCCATCTGACTTCACTTATAAAACACAAGTTGGAAGATAAAATTATTAAGAAGTACACAATGGAGAAAGCAGAGCCTTAAACCAAGTGTGGGCTCTTTGGAATGTAAGGCCATATGGGACTGCAAAGGACACGTGTCCATAAGGCTGGCTCTGCATGATGTTGTACTTGCTAAATTAATGTCATACATTTAAAAAATTATACCTATATATAAAAAGTGAGTGTTTGAGTAAGGGAAAAGAAACACCCACTTCATGACATTTCCTTTTTTCTCTCTCTTTTCTCATTCCTATTGTCTCTCTATATATTCTACAGAAGGCCTTTCTTATGTGATTTTCCACATAACTTAGCAAAAAGTCTGAGCTCAATAAATTTTAAAGTTGCACACTTAACCTTAGGGATGTCTAATATTGTTTGGGCACCAATATAACCCCAAAATGCTTGCATTTTGCATGGACTCCATCTCTGTAACTTCTTCAACCCACACCCTTATTCTCTGCCCATGCTTCTCTGAGTATGAAGGTTTTTTGAGACTGATGGATAAAGCTGCTCATTTATCACCCAAGAAGACCTTTCTTTCATATGTCACTGAGGAAGCCTTAGTTTAGTGGTTAAAACTATGGCCTCTGAAGACAAACTTCTTAGGTTTTAATACCAACATTGTCACTTAGTAACAGTGTGTTCTTACATAATTATAATACCTCAATTTTCTCAACTATAAAATGGTGATAGCTGTAGTACCTAATGTATGCATATAAGGATTAAATAATCTAGTACAAGTAAAGAATTTAGAAAGTGTTTAATACAGCATCAGTACTCAATCAATATTTGTCATTATTTTCCTAACTGGTTGATGTGATATCTTTTCCTTAATGTTACCTTTACATTATTTCCATCCTTTTCTCCATATATCTTACCTCTTCTATTTCCCAGCACTGCTATAGTAACTTTTCTACTTTAATTATCCTTTCCATATCAACAATATTTAGGGATAGAGGATGAATAAAATTAATGGTCTAAGGCCAGGAGCGGTGGCTCACACCTGTAATCCTAGCACTCTGGGAGGCCGAGGCGGGCGAATTGCTCAAGGTCAGGAGTTCGAAACCAGCCTGAGCAAGAGTGAGACATCATCTCTACTATAAATAGAAAGAAATTAATTGGCCAAATAATATATATAGAAAAAATTAGCCGGGCATGGTGGCTCATGCCTGTAGTCCCAGCCACTCGGGAGGCTAAGGCAGTAGGATCACTTGAGCCCAGGAGTTTGAGGTTGCTGTGAGCTAGGCTGACACCATGGCACTCACTCTAGCCTGGGCAACAAAGTGAGACTCAGTCTCAAAAAATAATAATAATTAAATTAAATTATCCACCTCACTGTCTTGAATAAAGGAGACTACTTGCTATTATGTAGTTTACAAAGAGCAACACATTTCTAAAACAAGTATCATCAATGTGTCAAAGAAGAAACTGAGGCCCAGAAATATCATAATATACCAAATATGAGACAATATTAGGCAATATTTGAAAGCACATCTCTCATACTCTAAAATCTATACATTTTATATTCTGCTGCCTTACCAAGTACTATAAGGTTTGTTAGGAAAATAATCATAAGTATAAAATTAAAAATCATAATTTCTTCACATTTATTTCAAGATCAATTTGGAATAAATGCTAAGTGTTCAAATATAAAAGAGCTTAAGGGCATTTGCTTGACATTAAAAATGGAAAAGATCAACAAATATATCAAACATTGCACATTTACAAAGGTGATGAACATTTCTCAGTCATGAAATAAATTCAGAAATAAATATCAGATTACCAGAGGGTGTGTTGCACTTCCTCAAAGGTTGGACATTGGAGTCAGAGGCCTCATCCCAAGTTCTAGCTCTATCACTTATTAACTATATGATTTTTGAGTAAATTCCTTAATTTCTCAAAGCCTCACTTTTATAATCTGTAAAATATGAAGAATAATGATAAAATGTTTAATATATTTAAAACAATCCTTGCCAATTCTTTAAATATTTTAAAATATATGTATATATATATATATAATACTTTAAAATATTTAAAATAATTCTAATGCTAAGAATTACTTGTTGTTAGTATTTTATCTCCTTGCCTCAAAAGGTCGCCTTAACTTTGTTTATCTGAAATGCACAAGGACATTAAAATAGCTGCTAAAATTCTATTAGGTCACAAACTGAGAACAATAATCTAAAAGACATCATAGTCATCTCTCTGTATCCATAGGAGATTGGTTCCAGGATCCCCATGGATGCCAAAATTTGTGGATGCTCAAGTTTCTTAAATAAAATGTAGTATTTGTATATAGCCTATGCATATCTTCCTGTAAACTTTAAATCATTTTGCAATTAGTTGTACCTGGTACAAACTAAGTGCTATGTAAATAGTTGTTATACTGTATTTTTATTTGCTTTATTTTAATGTTGCATTGTTATTTTTAAAAATATTTTTGATCTGTAATTGATTGAATATAGAATATAGATATAGAATTGGATATAGAACCCACAGATACTGAGAGTCAACTGTATATTTTTTCAACAATTTGTGTCATTGCATTACCATAAAAGAAAATTAAGTAAATGAAACAGATTGAGATTCTTAAACAATCTTTCCACATCTATAATTACCATAGGCAAAATAATAACAGCCCCACACACCAAAAGTGTCCAACTCCCAATTTCTAGCATCTATGAATATGTCAATTTCCATAACAAAGGGGCTCTGCATGTGTGATTAAATTAAGAATCCTTTTCTTTTAATTTTTTTTTTAATTTCAGCATATTATGGTGGTACAAATGCTTAGGTTATGTATATTGCCTTTGCCCCACCCGAGGCAGAGCTTCAAGCATGTCCATCCCCCAGACAGTGTGCACCACACCCATTAGGTGTGTATATACCCATCCCCCCCTCTCCCCTCCTATCTGCCCAATACCCAATGAATGTTATTACTATATGTGCACTTAAGTGTTCATCAGTTAAAACCAATTTGATGGTGAGTACATGTGGTGCTTGTTTTTCCATTCTTGTGATAATTCACTTAGTAGAATGGGCTCCAGTTCTATCCAGGATCATACAAGAAGTGCTAGATCACCGTTGTTTTTTGCGGCTGAGTAGAACTTCATGGTATATATAGACCACATTTTATTAATCCACTCATGTGTTGATGGGCACTTGGGTTGTTTCCACATCTTTGCAATTATGAATTGTGCTGCTATAAACATTTGAGTGCACATGTCTTTTTGGTAGAGTAACTTTTATTCTTTTGGGTAGATGCCCAGTAATGGGATTGCTGGATCAAATGGCAATTCTACTTGTAGCTCTTTGAGGTATCTCCATATTACTTTCCACAGAGGTTGTACTCGTTTGGAGTCCCACCAGCAGTATATGAGTGTTCCTATCTCTCTGCATCCAACATTTATTGTTTGGGATTTTTTGATAAAGGCCATTCTCACTGGAGATAATCTTATTGTGGTTTTCGTTTGCATTTCCTTGATTAGAGATGTTGAGCATTTTTTTATCTGTTTGTTGGCCATTAGTCTATCTTCTTTTGTAAAGTTTCTGTTCATGTTCTTTGCCTGCTTTTTGATAGGGTTTTTTTTGATAGGGTTTTTTCTCTTGCTTGATTTTACTAAATTCTATATAGATTCTAGTTATCATCTCTTTATCAGATGTGTAACATGCAAATATTTTTTCATTCTGTAGATTGTCTGTTTGCTCTCATGATTGTTTCCTTGGCTGTGCAGAAGCTTTTAAATTTGATCAGTTACTATTTATTTATTTTTGTTGTTGCTGTTATTGCCTTTGGGGTCTTCTTCATCAATTCTTTGCCTAGGCTAATGTCTATGAGAATTTTTCTGACATTTTCTTCTAGAATTCTTATAGTTTCATGCCTTAGGTTTAAGTCTGTTATCCACTGTGAATTGGATCAGGATATTATCCTGTATTTTCCAAGTGGGACTAATATAATCACTGGGATACTAATAAGGGAAAGAAAAAGAGAGGCAGGGAAGTCACAGTTGGAGAAAAAGATTTGATGACAGAAAGAAGATCAGAGCGAGATTGCTAGCTTTGAAAATGAAGGACAATGCCACGAGCCAATAAATCTGGCAGCCCCTAGAAGCTGTAAAAGACAAGGGAATTAATCCTCCTGTAGAGTCTCCAGAAATAATGTAAACTGCAAACACATAATTAGTCCAGTGAGATCCTGTTCATATTTCTGACTTATAGAACTATAAGATAATAAACTCCTGTTTTTTTTAAGCAACATAAGTTTGTGGTAATTGGCTCCAATAATATTAGGAAATTAATACATTAACTATATAACATGTAAGTTAATTGAATTACTTTCTAGAGCTATTGTTAAATATTCTACCTCCACATGAGAATTTATTGTAGTGTTAAAAATGGTCCTATTAGCACATCGTGTGAATACAGAAATACTTTCTTAAACTTTTAATTCTAGTCACTTATTCTTAAAATTTTATTACTGAAATTACCTGCAAATTGAGTGCTAGAGAATTCTCTGATATAAAGGACATTGTACTTTCAGCTGAAAATATGAATTTCACAGTGTGGAGGGTGAAAAACAGTTCTTAGTGCTTTAATTTTAACATTATCATATGCCAATTTTTCTATTTATAATTTAGTCATAAAGACTATTTTTTATTCAATTATATTTTATCTTTTACGTTTACATATACAGAATTCATAAAGCCACTACACTGAGCATGCAATTAAATTTGTTTTTTAAATTGCAAAATATACATGTAAATAATTGTTTTTTTTTGCTTGATAAGCAGATGTTCAAAAAAACAGCAGCTCCAAATTAAAATAGAACATTGGGGGAAAAAGATACATCTACTTGTGTGTGAAAGCTTAACAATCTTGCTTTAGTTTTTTAGTAGTAATAGTATAGTTTTTCCCACTTTTTAATGAAAAGCCATGTTTCTCAATTGGAAATAATGTTTCTTTCAGATAGTGGTATTTATTTCTAATATAGCACCTCATCTCCTGAATATATAATTAAATGACATTCAACCACTTTTAATCTGTTGGGTTCTCATTTTTAAGAATAAAGTAGAAATTTACTGTATTTTTATTCTGAGGCTTTTGCTTTATACCATGCTAAAAATAAAATTGGCCTATAATAAGTTCATCTGGTATTTTAGTAAACAAAGTATATGTCTCTTAGTGATTTCAAAGAGTGGCACATTTAACTTTCATAAAATCTTGCTCAAAAGAAAGTCATTATGATATATTTTCAAATAATCCATTCTTAGACATAAGAAGACCTGTATTTCTAGCTTAATGATCTCTATTATGACAAAGAAACAATGAACATAACAGGTTCACCAACATATACAATGGAATCCAATATTTTCAGATTCATTAAATAAAGGAAAGCCTGGACTGAGGTGGAGAGTGTTGCTCAACTCTTGTTCAGATTAATCATATTCACTGATATGATAAAGAAGAAAAAAGATACTTTGAAAATGAGAGGATCACAATAGTTAAATTGAGTGTAAAACACTCATAAAACCAGGTAAAGCCATTTTGAATTTAAAAGTTTATATCCAGATGCCCAAAACATATTTTATATCCTAAGAACACTTTTCTGAATAATTTCTTTTTTTACAATTAGTTATTTACTTTATAAATTGCTATTTTTCTTCTTAAAAGAACATACAAAAATTTTACAGGATATATTTCACTTTCTTTAAGATAGCTTTTGACAAGAATATAATAAAAGAAAAAGACAATGAAGATCAAAAGATGCTATTTGTTTTACTTAGCATTAGTCTTCATTTGACTTAGAAGCATATACAATGAATACAAATGAGTAAATGAGGTTTCCTAGTGATATTTTTTAAGAGGACAAATCTTCAGAGAGGAACATAATGGGCGGGGGGTACTAGAAACCATAAGATAAAACAATTTGAAAAAGAGATTAAGAGTCCAAAAAGATAAATGGTAGAGAAAAGTGTTCTGCAAATTGGTTCTATCAAGAGTGAAAAATGAATATAAGTTCATTGATTTAGAACTTCTTGGAAGTGCATCATTATTGGAGTGAAAACATAATACATGCTTCAATTCCTTTAGTTCCTTTAGAACTAAAGATCAACATACAAATAAAGGAAAGGACCTAGAAAGTTTTGAAGATGTAAAGCATGATTATAATATGGTGTTATTTACAAAGAAATAAAGAAAATGTGAAATTTAAATTCTACTCTTTGATCACATAATTTTTAGAATTTATTATAAGATTCTAAACTCTTAATAAAAGAAATTAACTTAATTGGTTAATTTCCTTATTAAAAGAAGTTTAATATAAACTTTGAAAAGTAGCAATAGTAGCAATTGAAGTAACATTACAGTTCTGAGAAAAATCAGCAACAAGAGCATCCTGGCATCTGAGGGTGCAAAGCAGTTCCTCACTCATCTAGAAAGAAGATAGGATCGCATTACCTTCTTTTTCAAGCTTCAATCCTGAAAGATATCCATGTTTTTCCTCTTCAAAAATGTGTCTATAAAAGGCTTTTTTTCCTGAGCAAGTAAAGTGAACTTAGTATCAAGAATCTGTTTGAAATGGGGAAAAAAATGGCGGTGTAGCAGTGACTTCCTGGCTCTCTGCTCCCAAAGAAGGAGGTAAAGAACTAGGACGGCTACACATGAGTGGATCACTCCCTGCAAGAACAGCATTGTGAATCTGCAGAGAAACAGCATGGGACATGCAGCTCAGGAAATAAAAGAAAAGGTGAATGGGAGATATGATCGCAAAGACTGGAGGGTGTGAGAGAGCTTTAAGAGTATAAACACGAGGAAACATATATGAAGAATACTATCTTCAAGGGAGTTGGATTTTAAGATATACATTGGGAATTAGATTGAATAAATCTTCAGATACTATTACCAGCAAAAGCAGATATACTTTAATAGAATCATTAAATAAAATTGAGAGTCAATAAAGGAGTATTAGAACATTCATTCACCTATTCATTCAACGTTGCTCTTTTAACATCAATCATAGATCAAACTTTGCCCTAGACACTGGAAATATAGCAAAGAACAGGATAGAAAACTTCATTCTCTCATAGATTTTATATTTATATACAGACGA